GAGGCTTATTTACAAAAGGTGAGATGAGAAGTGCGTGGAAAGTCGGAGCGAGAGGCCCCGGTGCTGGGGGATGGAGGGCACATCCCGTACTCCTCCCAGCAGCGCATGACCTTGTCCCCATTTCCTCGGTGAGGGCCCCGGATGTTCAGAAGGTTAAGCACCTTGCCCAAGGTCACGCGGTGAGTGGCAGAGCCGGGCCCAAACTCTGATGGCAAAGCCCAGGTTCCTTGTGCTCCAGCGTCCCTCTGCGGAAGTCACTGACGGACGCAGACTCTGGAAGGCCAGATGAATGCTGAGGCCTCCTGGGGGCCGTGCTCACCTCCCAGGAGGAGCTGGAGGCCAGGTGCACAGATGGAGGCTGGCCCTCCTCCCCGCTCTGCGTCCCTCCCACCCAGCGCTTCTCTGCCGGGGAGGAGGCCGGAGTTCATCAACGCTACACTCAATTACGCTGCCCATCTGTCTCCGCAGCTCGGGGGGACCTGGCACTGAAGCAGCCAAGGCCAGGCGATCGATCACCGCCTGCCATCCTCCCTCCAGACCCAGGCTCCTGGGGGCCGGGTGGGAGGCCGCCAGGGAGAGAAGGGGGGTAAGGGGAGGAGGAGACTCTGCACTCACCTATTCTAGGGGCTGTGCTGAGGGCAGGGCCGGAGGAGGAGAGAAGGGAGGAAACAGCTCCAGCTCCTGAGGACAGCATCTCCAAGCCTCTTCCTTTCGAGCTTTGCCAGAGGTCTTAGTTTCCTCGGGGGTGTCGGGGATCAATGCCACACTGTCTGCTAAATCCAGAGAAGCGGCCTGGAGAGGTAGGGCAGACGAGGTTTGCAGACCCAGCTCTTCCAAAAGAAAAACTCGCCCTTGGAGTGGGCAACCAATCCTGTGTCTTGGACTATGGATCCAGGGCTTTCTGTCTCCCGTCCCCGAAGCCTACGGCTGGCCAGGAGTCACTGCACAAAAAAGGGCCAGCCCCCAGCCCCCAGTCAGAAGACAGGCTGAGGTCTGTGTGCAACAGCTGGCTCTGTTTGTCCCTGTGGTTCCAGGCCCAGCCACACTCAGAGGAACAGTGTCCTTCCCTACACTGTCCCCCAAGGCGGTCACTCTAGGCAGGAGTCAAGAAACGGGCTGAGGGGCCCAGCAGATGGCAGGCAGTGGGGAGGAGCTGAGGCCCCAGGTCCATCACTGAAGGGATTTGCAACCGAGGCCACCACTCTGCGCCAGCCCTGCCCTCTGCTCCTGTAAAGCAGGCGTTGATCCGTGTTGGCTGGACTGGGTTTGAATCCTGGCCCCACCACTGAGAAGCTGTGCAACGTCTGACAAGTCACTTAACCTTTCTGAGCCTCAGTTTCCTCCCTGGCAAAATGAGACTAAATCCCTTCTTTGCCTACACACAGGGTTGGTGGGGGATTAAATGTAACGTACACGTGCTCTACCCCGTTCACTGTTCATATCCACCTGCGGGAACCCTCTACAAGCTCAATCCTACACTTGGGGCTCTGGGGACACAGAAAGCATGGAAGTCAAGGTCCCTAGTGCAAGGAGCTTGAAATCCAGTTGGGGAAAATGTACATGTGATAATCTGAACTCCTCATCACCCCTGGAGCTTACAGATGAAAGACAATTAGCTTTCTCTGCAGCTCCCCTGGAGAAATTGCTAATCAGCCTGCGTGAGGGGGCCGTGTGCAAGGGAGCCTTAAATGGTGATGGCAGGTGAGTGGGCAGCTCTGAGCTCCATCCTAGAAGGGGCTGTGTGCTCAGCAGTGAGGGGGAGGAATTGTCTGGGCTCTTGCCAAGCCTTGGGGTCAGAGGTGCTACGCAAACATGAGTCATCAAGCTACTGCCTCTCTCTGGATCCTAAGGCCCAGCCCTGGGCTCCTGGCCCAGCTCTGCCTCATCCACCCAGCTCCGCCAGAGGAGGCAAGAAGGAGGGAATTGCCTGGGCTAGAGGGGAAGGAGTCCCTGGAGGTTTTCAATTAAGTTTTAAATGGCTCCTTGATCCCCTGAGTGCAGTTGAGCACTGACTCAGCACTTAGAACAAAGGTGTTGGCGGAGGAGAGGGAAGCACGGGGCTCAGGTAGGGTCTAAAGGTCTGCGAGATGCTGGGCCTAGCTGAAGACCCCTCTCCACCTGCTCCAGCCCCCACCTCTCTCTTCCTCCACTTGTGAACTGTCTTGGGCTCCCCTAATTGGTTAGCATTTTTGGTCCTGCCTGCCCAAGCAGAGTGGCACTGCTGAAGGTGTGACGGTGTTACCAGTTTCTGCTCACGGCCCCCCACCCTGTCTGGGGGCAGTACTGGGCCCACGGGGTAGGTTGAAGGGAGGTTTGTTGAGCCCTAGGATCCCACTTCTCCTGTCCCCTAAGAAGTCCTACAGCTGGAGAGCCTCCCAACCCTGAGAGCTGGCAAGAGCTGGAAGGGAGCTAACATTTATCCAGCTCTTTCTGTATGCAGCACATTCAACTTGTTTGATTCTGATGACAATCTCATTTTATACAGAAGGAAACAGGTGCTCAGAGAAGTCTAGTAACTTTGCCCAGGGTGCTCTGGTGGTGAGTGGCAGGGCAAGATTTTGGGTCCCGATCCATTTGCTGGTGGGTCTCCTCTCTCACGCCAGGTCTAGGCAGGAGTCAGGATCTCTGGCCTGTAAGTATGGCAGGACCACTGGCCTTAGATCCAGTTCCGTGACAGGGACCTCTTGGCCCTCAGATTGTTCCCTGCTTCCTCTCCACCCAATAGAACACCACAAAATTCCTCCCCTCTTCCTGACCCGCAATCAGTGGCTTAGGTGGCTGGGTTCCCCGGGCTTCCCCTTGCACACGTGTGCAGGCGTGCATGCCTGTGTGCACGTGTGTTTGTTTACCCTGAGTTTTAGGTAGTCAGGGCACACACACCCCTACGCAAAACCTCTGTGCCTTTCAAGTCACAGTTGTTTTTCCCACCTTCAGAAATAGCTGCAGGGGAAAGTGGGAAGTAGTCAAATGTAAGCAGGCACACTCTCCTGCTCAGGGAAGGGTACCCTGCCCGCAGCTGCTCCCCTCCCCAGCCCCAGCGTCCTGGAAGTCGGGTGAGGTGGGCAGAGCCCCTCTGGATGGTGGCAGGAAACACAGTCTGAGCTTTCTGCAGCTGCCTGGTAAGGAGTCATCACCCCACGAGACAAGAATGGGCACCCAGCCTGCTGCTGCTGCAGCCAGTGCACCCCAGACCTTCCTGGCCAGACATAGGGGCAGAGATGTGAGGTAGAGACAGCACGACCACTGGACTTAGGTTGATTCTTGTATCTTGCAGCTATGTGACTTCAGCCAAGTTCTTTAAGCTCTGCTGGACCTCAGTTTCTTCATCTGCAAATTGGGGGTATTAATGCTTATCTCATTGACCTGTAATGAAGGTTAAATGAAATAAGACATCCAAAGTCTTTGAAGAGTCCTGGACAATGGTAGGTGCTCAATAAGTGTTTGCACGCTCCCCTGACACCGGCAGCTAAAAATCTACCTGGAATCCGACCTCCACTCAGAAGTCAGACCAGGCTCAAGAAGGGAACGCAGGGTCTGGTCACCTTTTGTTTCCATCTTCGGTTCTAGGCCAAGGCTGGACTTGCCTCCCGGTCAATGCAGCCTGGCCCTGGGACCTGAGAGAGAAGCTGGATTGGTTACCCACACCCAGGATGGAGGAAATAGCAGTGGCTTGGATTCTAGATTGGAAGGGGTCCAATCTCCTGCAGAAAGGGGCCCTGGAGCCACAGAGATTTATTTATGCAATAAACACTGGGCACCCATCCTGTGCTACGGGTACAACAGTGAGCAAAACAGGTCTCTAGCTGGAGAGAGCTTTCCATGTGCCGTGGTCAGGACCGTGACAGAAGGAAGTGTGAGCACTGTAAGAGCATAAAGCCAGCCCCTTGGCCAGCTAGGGGTGGAGAGGTTTTGGAGAAGCCTTCTGTAGGAGGTGACTGAACTTGAGTCTTGAAGAACAAGTAGAAGTACCCCCCCACACACAGTGGGTAAGTGGGGTGGCAGCAAGAGAAGCCAGGTGAAGGGGCCAGGCCAGGTCACAGAAGGTCTTACCTGCAGGGCTGAGGAGCTCAGACCCAGGCTTTTTAACCCCACTGCCTCCTCCTGGGCAGTTCCACCAGGCTGTTGGGAAGGGGGAAGCCCCTGCCTCCAGGGTGGGGAAGTTGACAAAAACCAAAGCAGCACCCCCACCCAGGACGGCCTAGCCACAGGACCACCCGCGCTTCCCCAGCCTGCCTGGATACGGGGTCGGGTCCGCTGTCTGTCAACCTCTAGAGTCCTGGGGAGCCCATCCCAGATTTTAGAAGCTGCTCTTGTTTCCAGCACCCCCTCCCCACCTCTTGCCTGCACTGCCAGAGGAATTTCTGGCAACTATCATTTTATCTTCCATTTACCCAAGTGAGTCAAAGAGGGAGGGAGGAAAGAGATAAGAAAGGTTAGAGAACCTATTACACATTTCTCTGGGCTCAGGACTCTGAAGGTGACAGTAATTCCAGCCCATCCGCTCTCCTTCTGTCCCAGACACACACATGCATGTGTACATACATGTGCACACACACTTTCCTCTCCGCTGAAGACTCCCGGTCACTCGCTCCACAAACAGGTCACAGGAAAGGACACTAAAGCCGTAAGGACCGCAGGACACAACCCAGGAGCGCTGGCTCTGGCCCTGGCCATGCCTTCTGCAGCTCCCTGAGTCAAAAAGCCCGGGAGGAGGGGTAGACGCTGCTCCCAGGCCGCCTCCTCACCTCCGCCTCCTCTTCTTCCAGGAATGCCCCCGACAGGCGTGGCCATGAGTGAGCAGGCCCCGCCCCGGTGGGCGAGGACGAGGAGCTGCACCCAAGAGGGCCAGAAGTGACGCTGCACCGTCTCCGTGTAGAATGACCGTCCTGGGAGGGCGGCTCCCCCGGCCCTGGCAGGGCTGCTGACGCTCAGCCCGCAGAGCTCGCAGAGCAGGACTCCGGACTCTTCCTGTGGATGTTCCCCTGCCCTGCCGCCCCACCATGAGGCTCCTGGTGGCCCCCCTCTTGCTAGCGTGGGTGGCTGGTGCCACTGCCGCTGTGCCTGTGGTACCCTGGCGCGTGCCCTGCCCCGCTCAATGTGCCTGCCAGATCCGGCCCTGGTATACACCCCGCTCGTCCTACCGCGAGGCCGCCACCGTGGACTGCAACGACCTGTTCCTGACGGCGGTGCCCCCGGCACTCCCTGCGGGCACGCAGACCCTGCTCCTGCAGAGCAACAGCATCGTCCGCGTGGACCAGAGCGAGCTCGCCTACCTGGCCAACCTCACAGAGCTGGACCTGTCCCAGAACAGCTTCTCGGATGCCCGGGACTGTGATTTCCATGCGCTGCCCCAGCTGCTGAGCCTGCACCTGGAGGAGAACCAGCTGACCCGGCTGGAGGACCACAGCTTTGCGGGGCTGGCCGGCCTGCAGGAACTCTATCTCAACCACAACCAGCTCTACCGCATCGCCCCCAGGGCCTTCGCGGGCCTCAGCAACCTGCTGCGGCTGCACCTCAACTCCAACCTGCTGAGGGCCATCGACAGCCGCTGGTTCGAGATGCTGCCCAACCTGGAGATCCTCATGATTGGTGGCAACAAGGTGGATGCCATCCTGGACATGAACTTCCGGCCCCTGGCCAACCTGCGCAGCCTGGTGCTCGCAGGCATGCACCTGCGGGAGATCTCTGACTATGCCCTGGAGGGGCTGCAAAGCCTGGAGAGCCTCTCCTTCTATGACAACCAGCTGGCCCGGGTGCCCAGGCGGGCCCTGGAGCAGGTGCCCGGGCTCAAGTTCCTGGACCTGAACAAGAACCCACTCCAGCGGGTAGGGCCGGGGGACTTTGCCAACATGCTGCACCTCAAGGAGCTGGGGCTGAACAACATGGAGGAGCTGGTCTCCATCGACAAGTTCGCCCTGGTTAACCTTCCTGAGCTGACCAAGCTGGACATCACCAACAACCCGCGGCTGTCCTTCATCCACCCCCGCGCCTTCCACCACCTGCCCCAGATGGAGACCCTCATGCTCAACAATAATGCTCTCAGTGCCTTGCACCAGCAGACGGTGGAGTCCCTGCCCAACCTGCAGGAGGTGGGTCTCCACGGCAACCCCATCCGCTGTGACTGTGTCATCCGCTGGGCCAATGCCACGGGCACCCGTGTCCGCTTCATCGAGCCACAGTCCACCCTGTGTGCAGAACCGCCAGATCTCCAGCGCCGCCCCGTCCGAGAGGTGCCCTTCCGGGAGATGACGGACCACTGCCTGCCCCTCATCTCCCCTCGCAGCTTCCCCCCCAGCCTCCAGGTGGCCAGCGGAGAGAGCATGGTGCTGCACTGCCGGGCGCTGGCCGAACCGGAACCCGAGATCTACTGGGTCACTCCAGCCGGGCTTCGACTGACGCCTGCCCATGCGGGCAGGAGGTACCGCGTGTACCCTGAGGGGACCCTGGAGCTGCGGCGGGTGACAGCAGAGGAAGCAGGACTGTACACCTGTGTGGCCCAGAACCTGGTGGGGGCAGACACTAAGACAGTCAGTGTGGTTGTTGGCCGTGCCCTCCTCCAGCCAGGCAGGGACGAGGGACGGGGTCTGGAGCTCCGGGTACAGGAGACCCACCCCTATCACATCCTGCTATCTTGGGTGCCCCCACCCAACACGGTGTCCACCAACCTCACCTGGTCCAGCGCCTCCTCCCTCCGGGGCCACGGGGCCACTGCGCGGGCCCGCCTGCCCCGCGGCACGCACAGCTACAACATCACCCGCCTCCTTCAGGCCACGGAGTACTGGGCCTGCCTGCAAGTGGCCTTTGCCGATGCCCACACCCAGGTGGCTTGTGTGTGGGCCAGGACTAAAGAGGCCACTCCTTGCCACAGAGCCTTAGGGGACCGGCCTGGGCTCATCGCCATCCTGGCTCTCGCTGTCCTCCTGCTGGCAGCTGGGCTAGCGGCCCACCTTGGCACGGGCCAGCCCAGGCAGGGGGCGGGTGGGCGCCCTCTCCTGCCAGCCTGGGCTTTCTGGGGCTGGAGGGCCCCCTCTGTCCGGGTGGTGTCTGCACCGCTTGTCCTGCCCTGGAATCCAGGGAAGAAGCTGTCCAGATCCTCGGAAGGGGAGGCGCCGTCACCACCATTGTCTCGTCACTCCTGAAGCTCAGCCAGTTCTCAGCAGTAGAGAAATAACTAGGACTACTTTTTACCAAAAGGGAAGCAGTCTGGGCCAGACGCCCTGCCAGGAAAGTGACATGGACCACGTGCTTGAGGCCTGGCAGCTGGACCAAGACAGCCGGGGCTTTGTGGCCCCCAGGGGTGCCCCTGTGGCCTCCAAAACGCTGCCCTTATCTCCTGCGCTCCTCTGCTGCCGTCCTGAGGAACGTCGACCAGGAACAGGAAGGACTCCGGTGAGAGCCTCCCGCCCTCCCATGATCGACCTGCCCAGAGGCTCCTGGGCCTGCTTGGTTGTCCCCTGCGGTGTCCCCAGGCCCTGGCGCAGGGTGCAGCCCCGCTTCTTCTCTTTCTTTGTACAGTCTCCGTTGCCTGCTCCTTCCCCTCCTGGGCGAGGGCTGAAGGAGACCTCTCCTTGCCATCTTGGGGACCGCCCTCAAAGTGGGAACGACCCCCAGCCACACCTGAAGGACATTTGGGGAGAGGGACGCCCAGAAACGCCTCATCTCGGCAGCCGGCTCGGCACTCTGAAGTGGACTTTCTACAGGCGATTTTGTATCTTTGTGGAGAAATGTGTCACCTCCCCCAACCCAATTCACTCTTTTCTCCTGTTTTGTAAAAAATAAAAATACCAAAAGGATCTCATGTTTACACTTCCTCCTCCGATGCACTTCAGAGAATAGGGCTTTAGGGAGCCTGGGAAATGATGACGGTAGAAAAGTCTGAGCTCTGAAGGAAACGGTGGGATAAGAGAAGTATAAAGTATCTGGGTCTGCAGCCCACACGTAGCG